AAGTGAGTCATTGCGATTGAACCAAATCATTTAACGAATGATTCATTCAGGAACGAAACACCCTCATGTTGCTCAGAGACGCAAAACAGCGCTGTGACTGTGCTTGGAATTATTTTTGTTGGCGAAATAGAGCAAAAAGAGGAAATATAGTGTCTAAAACGTAAGTCTCTTAATATTAACTAATTTTTTATTGAACAGTTGTATAAAATCAATATCACATTTGTAATCAGGCTGATTTTTGGAGGAAACAGCACTCTTCTTGTGATATTGATTAACTATATCAGGGATAGGCAACGTCGGAGTGCCACTGTCCGTCAGGTGTGGGGTAGGTTTAGGGGTTAGCATTTTTTGTAGCATAGTGTAGGAAATCAACACTTTAATTGACGCAACCAATACAATCTTTAGAATCAGCTGTGGGGCAGAGTTTGTACTTAAGTGGATTGGGGGAAAAAATTGCGCATGCGTGTCATGTGCCTGCCTGTCAATGGGAGGAAGCCACGCCCTACTTTGGAGTTCCTGCCCCCATTTGGAGATCTCCAGGGCTGCGTTCCAGTTCACTTTTAGACACGCACTCGCGAACTTCCCTAAGCACTTACCCTCGGGGGAATCCCCACCGTCATTTTGAAGTGCGTTCCACTTCGTCAAGTGGACGAGGGAAGTTTACATGGACATACCCTCGACCCTTCGATTTTGACCGAGGGAGCGAATCTGCTTCATATGCACACTTCAGGCCGCTCCATAGACCACAATGCAACACGACTATGACGTCATCGCAGATTGCGTTTAATTTATCCCCACCCCAAACAACTCTATAATATATAAAAACAAATTTTTTACATTTATAACAGCCCAAGCATATCTATATACATATAGAATGCTGCACCAAACAAATTCGTAAGGGGAAAAATGTAAACAATAAACCAGCTCCATAGCTGATTCTAAGTGATCAAGCGCTTAGGTTGTTCCAGTTCAGCCCATTCCAAGGGTTCCGCCAATAGTGGGCACTCGTGCAACGTAATCAATGACGTACATCCGAGTAAACGAGATGGAGGGAAGTTTGCGAGTGAAGGGTATAAAAAAATGGACTGGAACGCAGCCCAGGCTGCAGTTATACCCTTCTCATTAGTTCCGGGTTTGATGAAGGCCCGCCTTCCGAAAAACGAAATGTGATGTGATTGGTTAGCTGTCCCAGTGCGTTGTGATTGGCGAACAGCTTGGA